GATGGATGATAGATAGATAGATAGGTAGACAGGCAGAGAGACAGACAGATGAGAGAGAGAGAGATAGATAAATGATAGATATAGATGAGATGATAGATAGATGATAGATATAGATAGACAGACAGAGATATAGATAGATGATATAGATAGATGATAGATAGAGATAAAGATAGATAGATGATGATAGATGGATAGATGATATAGATAGATGATAGATATAGATAGACAGACAGAGATATAGATAGATGATAGATAGAGATAAAGATAGATGGATGATATAGATGATAGATAGATGATATAGATAGATGATAGATATAGATAGATGAACAGATAATAGAGAAGAGAGGGAGGGAGGGAGGGAGGGACAGGGATGGATGCACAGGGGAAGGGAAGGGAATGGAAAGGAGAAAGAGAAGGAAGAAGACAGGTAGGAGGACAACACCTTACATCAGTCTGTTTAGAAATGAAAATGTTGTTTCCAAAGAATGGCCTAGATAATTTATGAAAACAATCCTATGCTCCTTTTTTTTTTTTTTTAAAAAAAAATGATTTTTCAGATCCACTGGAGATATGCGTGAGGATGCTGATACTTTTTTCAGTTTATATTTTGGGTGGGATAATTCAGGGGGCATTAAAAATAAAAACCCTTTCAAAGAGGAAGACAGCAGCAGATGTGCTACTCCTTCTCTCTAACCCCAGGGGGCTGTAAACAAGTGGCCACCTCAGGGCATTGAGTGTCCAAAAGCCCAACTGGAATCACAACTGCCCCCCTCCTCCTGGGGGACTCCAACCAAAGACGGGGCCATACCCAAGAAGGACAGCTGGCCATTGGCGTTCCGGGTTTCCAAGTGTGAGGGAGCTGCGAACACAATGGGTCCGTAGGAGACCACCTTCATGTAGTCGTCCTCCAGATGCCTCTTGTTCCTCTGCTTGATGGGACATTGCTGTCACCCAACAAAAAGAAGGAGGTAAGTTTGTGCACAACAGAAGCCCCTACAAACAACTGAGCTCATGACCAATAACGAAGCTTGCTTTGCAAACCCAACACAATACAAATCCCATCGTCCCTAGCCAGCAAGGTGAGAGGTACTGTAATCCGTGTTCTAAAAATGGCCTTGTTGGATTAGAACAAAGCCGTTGTCAGGATTTCAGCAGTTCCCCCCAATTAAATTATGAGTCTC